TCCTGGATTTGCCACATAAGGTGAAAGGTCAAGTCACGCGTCATCACGTTGTCTCGTCATTTTATGGTTTGCAATTATAATATTCTATATCAGGAAAATTGTGTTTATAATAAATAAAATAAATGGTTTTATTGTCCAAACAGTACCCGTGCAGTCGCAGCCTGTATACGGCTGAATTGATGCAGGGTATCACATAATCAATACAAATCACAACAATTACAACAATCAAATAATACACATGATACACATATTTGTCGCAAGGGTCTGTGCGGCTGCCATTCGGCGCCACAAGGTGACCTCAATACGACTTTCCCCAACCGAAGTTAGGTACCCATTCACACCTGGGTGGAGTGAGGAAAGTCGTGTAAAGTGCCTTTCCCAAGGGCACAACGTCGGGGCGCATGTTCAGACATGTACCGGGTACGACTCGGAATCGAACCCGGGTCTCCCGGTTCATAGTCGATTGCTCTATCCACTACACCACCCGACGCCATTATAGATGCATATAGTGGTGACAAGATTATACATTTATTCTAAACATTCAACTTTTAAAAGACAGGTATATCGTGCGTTATGAAGAACCAATTTTGGTACACTTGTGTGTTATACTATACTGGAAAAAATTTTAAAGAATTTTAAATAACACATTCAATCATACATATACTCTCAACGCAGAGATTTGGGTTTTACTTATTTTTGGCGTGTTTCTCAAGCTTTTTTTATCGGGATTTCTTTATTGCACTGGAATTTTTTTCACACTACCAATAAAAATCCCAATGCAAAAAAGGACCGGATAAAAAAAGCATAAAACAAACAAGACATAAATACCCCACACCTCTGCTTGAAGAGTATGCCTGTAATACTTCCACCTGATGCTACTAGATACTACAGACATTACGTGATAGCACAGACTCAGACATAGTTTACAGTACAAGCAGGTTACAGTATAGGGGGCTCTTTCCACAGCACTTTCCGTAAGACCCTTGTCAACACACCAGGCTTGAACAATCTCTGAACAACGGGTAAGGTT